AAATGGGACTAGATTTATTTAGGACACCTGGTCAACATGAACGAGTTGGACTGAAGGGTCTGTTTCCACGCTGTATATCTCGGACTCAGAGATAGGATCAGAAACGTCCTGCTACAATTGTACAGGGTCTTGGTGAGAACACAACTGGAGTACAGTGTGCTATTTTGGTCTCCTTATCTGAAGAAGGCTACAGTAGAAGGACAAAACAGTTTACCAGACTGATTCCTGGGTTGGTAGGACTCATGCAGGAAGAGACACTTGATCAGTTAGGACTATATTCATTGGATATTAGAAAAATTAGGAAAAATCTTGTAGACACCCATAACATTCTATAAGAACTAGACAGAGTAAATGCAGGAAAATATTCCTGATAATTGGGGTGTCAAGAACCAAGGGTCACAATCTAAGAATACAGGTAAGACCAGTTAGAACAGAGATGAGAAATTTTGTTCATCTAGAAAGTGGTGATCTGCCACAGAAAGCAGTTGAGACCAATAAATTGAATGTTTTCATGAGGAATTAGATATAGTTTTTGGGGTTAAGGGATCAAAGGATAGGGGGAGAATACGGGAGCGTGGTACTGAGTTGGCTTATCAGCCATGATCGTATTGAATGTGCAACAGGATCAAACGGTTGAATGGCCTGTTCCTTTTATCTGGATTGAATGAGGGAGCATTTGGATGTTGTGAAGACTTACATTCATTTGTAGCCTTAACTTCTATTAAATAGCATGAAATAAATAGAAAGCTTAAAGGTTTTAAGTGGTAACTGCAGTTGGGATGCCCTGGACTTGTTGTGCTGCTACCACCTGACTGAAGACTATCTCCCTTGACCTGACTGAGCACTACAGCCCTTAGACTTTGAGAAATGGCCATTTGGTTAAAACATATGCAGTTTATTTGTGCACAAGCTGTTGACATATGGTGTAGGAGTTGCGCTGACTTAGCATGGTGGTGTCAAGCAACATGTCCACCCTCTTGAGTAGTCACTGCTGACAACCATGCCAGCTGCCTGACTTTGCGTTTACACTAAATGCATGATAAGACAAAAGTACTCTCAACCTTTAAGCTCTGAATGAGGTGGCATGGCAAGACAAAGAAGCTATGATCATCCAAGTGCAAACACTAAGAAAATAAATGAAGAACATGAGATACAACCTGGCCCAACACACAAAATGGATGCTTGTCCCCGCAGTGTCCTAGTAACATTACGTGAAAGGTGCCAGTGCGTTCCAGAGTGCAGCACTGATCTGGAGAACTGCGCTGTAAGTGGGGTGAGAGATGTTCAACAATCATGTGGTGAAGTTAGTTCATGTCTGATGCCACCATCCACTGGACGGTTGGGACCACGGATGTTTGCAGATGCTTGCTGCCCATGGAGTTTAACCAGAGATGTTGCAGCTACTCTCCAAGTTATGGAGCAAGTGGCAAATTGGAGCAGCCAGGTACTCGCTTTTGATTTTCTTGTTAGAAACTGAATGCTGACAATTCCTAAGTACGTGGGAAACTGCAGATCAATGAGACGTGGAAACGTACTAGTACATTTAAATAGGTCTCTTGCAGCTCACTAGCAAAATTCTCACCTTGCTGTTCAAAACATGGTTGCAGAATCAGACCTTTCTTCTCAGCATTGAAAATCTCTTTTCCAATCTCACCATATTTTCCAAACTAACTATCTTACCATTGCTCAGGGTGGGGGAAAATTCCACCCTTCATTTTGACAGGAAATTGACAGCGTTGTCAAGGTTTTGGCAAAGATCTACAGCTCAGGTTGTGGGTGAGGTTGTTGACTTGCTCGCCGAACTGGCTCGTTCTCGTTCAGATATTTCATCACCGTGCTAGGTGACATCATCAGTGGAGCCTCTGATGAAGCGATGCTATTCTACACCGCTTGGAATTTATACTGTTTGGGCCATTATAGCGAGTAGTGTCATTGCTGGTTTTGGTCTGTATGGGTTCCAATTCTAGGTGTTTGTTGATTACGTTACGGGTGGAGAACCATGCCTCTAGGAATTCCTGTGCATGTCTATGTTTGGCTTGGGCTACTATGGTTACCTGGTCCCAATTAAACTGAGGGCCTTCATTGTCTTACAAGGACATTTACAAGGATTAAAGACCCCATTCCCACAACATGCAGAACCAACGTGGTTTACAAAATACCATGCAAAGACTGCCACAAACATTACATCAGACAGACAGGAAGGAAACTAGCCATCAGAATACACGAACATCAACTAGCAGCAGAACGGCACGATGAACTCTCCTTAATATCAGTACACTCAGACAATGAAGGCCATCAGTTTAAATGGGACAAGGTGACTGTAGTAGCCCAAACCAAAACAGATATGCACTGGAATTCCTAGAGGCATGGTTCTCCATCCATAATGCAATCAACAAACACCTAGAATTGGACACCATATACAAACCCATTCAGATTGAAACCGGAAATGACACTACTCTCCATAACTGACCAAACAGTATAAAATTCCAAGCGGAGTAGGATAACATTGCTTCATCGGAGGTTCCACTGATGACATCACCCATCATGGTGATGAAACGTCTGAATGAGAACAAGCCAGCTCAGCGAGCATGTCAACAACCTCAGCATTGTCAAGATTGCACAAATATTATTGTTCCCCTTAATTGTGATGCTGCAACCATGACCATCAATTATTAAAACTAATTTTCAAAGTTATGGCAATAGATTGAAAGCACTAGATGCAGAAATTTTACCCCTTTTTCAACCTCCAATAATGTTCTCATAATCGTACTCCATCTTAGCAAGCACAGAAATCAATTTCTCTTGAAACTCTTCATGAATGGTTGTCAATGAAAGGTGTGCAGGGAGTAATAAGTGGACTACAAAGCAACTTAATGTAAATATAGGTAAATGGAGGAGTTTTTTTCCATAATGTAAAGGCATTTATGTTTTATACAAACAAATTCAGTATTTCAAAGGGCGGTGACAGCTTAGTGGTATCATCACTGGACCGTTAATCCACAGACCCAGGTAATGTTCTGGAGACCTGGGTTTGAATCCTGCTATGGCATAGCAGATGGTGGAATTTGAAATCTGGAATTAAGAGTCCAATAATGACCATGAATCCATTGTCAATTGTCAGAAAAAAGCCATCTGAGGCAAGGAAGGAAAATGCCATCCTTACCTGGTCTGGCCTACACATGACCCCAACCCAGAGCAATGTGGCTGACGCTAAACTGCCTTCCAGGCAATTAGGGATGGGCAATAAATACTGGTCTGGCCATCGATGCCCTCATCCCATGAATGAGTATAAACACTGAACTGCATTGGTTTGTCTTTTCCCATTGTTGAAACACTTCTCATGTAGATAGTTTAATGAGTGCTTGAGCAGACTGACTTCTAACCAACCTGCTTACAGTTACCCAACAGAATCTCTCCTCCATGATCCTTGATGCTAATTTTCCTGTTTGTTTCTAAATAAACAAAATTAAGGTTTTAAGTGGTTCAGAGGCACGAAATACTAGAGAATTTCAGTATTCTGCCATATGGATGCCAATGATGAGAGTGAAACCTAAACATTAATTTATACTTAGTGCTAACTCCTGGGGAGAGGGGGCTTTCAACAATCCAATCCTCTTGTCACAGGGTCCAGTGTCAGCAAATATTAACTCCACACGGAAGCACTTGATGTTAACAGCTACTGTTTTTGCAAAAATTGCCAAATTGGCTCAGTGGTACAAGTGATACAATTTGATACCGTTAGAAAATAGTATACATAGTGGAGCAGCTTATAGTGGAAGAGATTCATGCAAACGTACAAATTAAGAGCAGGAGAGGCCATTTGGCCCCTGGAGTCTGGTTCTGCCATTCCAGAAGATAAAAGCTGTTTTGATTACTCCACAATTCCAGCCTGCTCCTCAGAATGTCAAGGTCATATCAATTAAACTGTATACACTAATCATATATGCTATGATATTCAGTGTTGAATATCACTAAAACAAAAAAAAGTTTGTTCAGTGTATTAAGGCACTAAAACAATTTTAAGTATCATTTGGAAAAAAAAAAATCACATCCTTTCAGAATACAAAAAAAGTTGCCTATAAGAGCAGCGTTGAAACGCTGGTCAAGAATGTCTATTGCATTCTTGCAAAACATCAGGTTTGCCATCCTTCATGCTTTTCCAGTTAACAAGAGCTCACTTACCACACATCCATTATTATTTAAAGAAGGCAATAACTCTACACCTGCAACTGCCAGATGTATTCTTTATTTTACTTTTGGCCTAAATGCAAAGTCAGCTTTCTATAAAGATGAATGAAACCTTCAGTCCCAGAAGGCCAAACACACACATACCTTGTAATAATATCTCCAATAGCGATTCCCTTAGCTGAAATTAATATGCTGTATTGCTTAAACCTCTCAAGGTAGATATTTGTGCACTATCTAATGATTGAATCCAGGCCCATGGCTGAGCTAGAAACAGGAGCTGTTCCAAAGACAACCTAACTTTATTGAGATAAGATTAGAAGATGAACTTTATCATTTTATTTTTCTGGCTTTATATTCTATGTTTAGTTTATTTTCTGTGTTTTAAGATGGCACCAAACAGTAGCGATGCTAAACTTTTTACGGTAGTTGTAATAAATACACATGATAATAAATCAAATCAAAGATCTTGATGTAGTTGTTGGGAGTCACAATCTGAAAATTTGCAAAATATGCCAAGATGTCAACGTTGGGATGGTTGATGCTCCTAGGCTGTTTAAGGCAGTCAGACCATGTTGTGTTGGGAGATAAGGGTCATGACTGGCAAATGATGTGTAACTTGGATAAGTGTAGTGGTACACATACAGGAAACTTGAACACTCAAAGCTGAAGTAGAAAGTGACCAGCCATAAGTAAATACTTTGCATTAACCTGAAGAGTAATCTCCTTCCTTTTGATGAATCCCTGAATCAAGTTTTATTTATTTTTATCTTTTAGGAAGTTCAACCTAAAGCATTTAAAACAATGGCCAGATGTTAAGATAAAAATAAATATATTTATAACAATGTACAATGTTTAAAAATATTGTCCTATAACCTCTCATTGTACAAAAATATTAAAGTTGGCTGCTATAGGTTAAGCAGACAAATAATGTTCCTTTTAAATTAAAACTTTGCAGAACTACATGACCAATGTCCAAAACCACAAAACAAGGGCAGTCAGGTACTGACTATTAGACTAGGCCATTACTTCAGAGCAGTTCTGTATTGGATAAAATCTATTAGATATATGTCAAGAAGTCCCATCATAGACACTCATTGTTGAGATGGGTAACTGCCACTGAGAGATTTTCTCAGCCTGTGTCTTGGCCCTGCGTTTAGCAAGTTTGGAATTGGAAGGAGGGGAAAGTCGCATAGAACAAACAGTCTTGATGATAGCTTCCTGTTCCCCTCGCATCTCCTCGTCTTGCTGTGAAAGCTGCCTGTTGAAGGCAATGGCTTCTGCAGCAAAATCAGTCAGATCCTTTGTGCTACTGTTTCTGGAGAACAAATAAGATAATTATGTGCTTATAAGTTGGGAAATAATGCCAGTAATTCACTGCATAATATCTTAAAATGCATATGAAGCAGTTTAATCATTATAAAGGATAATACTATATAACATAGCATAAGTTAAGACATTATCCTGTAATTATTAAATCCCAGTATTAACTTAAATCATACAATTTGATGTTAACCAGGTCAACCAGAAAATGTTAAGAAATCTCTACACTTGCACATATTTAACTGTTAAACAGTAGCCTTTTAAGAAAGATAAAAGATAGAAACAGGCTTGAAACCGGACATGCATAAAATCATTACTAATCTGAACGATGTCTTCCCCTGTGAATACTTGGAGGAAGTAATGTACAATATACTTTCTCTGAGCAGAGATAAACCAAGCAGAATTAATGAGATTGATATAAATGAGACAGATTGAAGTCTTAAAGAGCTTTAAAACAAACAAGTCTCCAGTAACACGTGGTTACTTTCCCAGGAGGCTAAGAGAAGCTGGGAAGGAGTTTTTTTCAGCATTGATGATCACTGTAAAGAGAATCACTGAACACTACGCTAGTATATTGGAAACAGTCAAGTATGATGCCCATGCTGTCTGACAGGCTGACAGCCAGGTATAGGCAACGACAGTAATTCTAAGGAAGTCACCTGGGATTCAGAAACTGACTACAAACCGGTCATATTTGCAGTTTATGCCAGAGCAGGAGTGTTAGGCATCTACAATTAATGGTAGCACCTTGGGTAGTTTTGTAGAACAGAGGGACCTACAGGGGCAGGTACATAATGCTTTAAAGTTTGTGTCACATTTGACAGCGTGGTTTAAAAAGGCATTTGGCATGCTTGTCTTCATTGCTTGGTATTTTGACTACAGGAGTTGGGAAGTCATGTTGAGGTTGCGCAGGAGATTGGGGAGGCCTCTTCTGGAATACTATGTCCAGTTCTGATCGCCCAGTTATACGAAGGATATTATCAAGCTGGAGAGTTTTCAGAAGAGATATATTAGAATGTTGCCAGTATGGAAGGTTTCAGCCATAAAGAGGAGGCTGGATAGGCTGGGACTTTTTTCACTGGAGCGTAGGAGGTTGACAGGTGACCTGATAGAAGTTTATAAAAAGTAATGAGAGGTATAGATAGAGTTAATGGTAGTTGTCTTTTCCCTAGGATGGGGGTTTCAAGGCTACAGGCATATTTTTAAGGAGAGAGGAGAGAGATTTGAAAAAGGCTTTTTTTTTTAAAAACACAGAGGGTGGTTCGCGTGTGGAATGAACTTCCTGAGGTAGTGGTTGATGCAGGTACAATTACAACACTTAAAAGACGTTTGGATAAATACATGAATAGAAAAGGTTTGGAGGGATATGGGCTAGAAGCAGGCAGGTGGAACTAGTTTAGTTTGGAATTATGTTCAGTATGGACTGGTTGGACAAAAGGGTCTGTTTCCGTGGTGTACGTCTCTATGGCAGTAAAATTTGTTGACAGCTCAAATTACAAATTCAGTGGACAAAACATAACTGCAAAAATTGCAAAGGACTGTATATAAGGAGGAAACAATGGGCAATACATGTCACTCTTATAAATGACATTAAATTAATCAAGATTAACTTGAAAGTCAAAAAAGCCAAAAGAATGTGGAACTGTATAACTGCACAGAGTATAAGTAAGAGGATGTCACAACAAAAGTGCATCTGGTAGGCTGGTTAAACCAAATAATGTGCATCATATCTTGTTCTAATTTCTAGGATACAGTCAAGTAATGGAAGTACTACAAAGATTCATGAGGTTTTTTCTGAGTCTCTCAGTTAATAGGAAAGATTAGAAAGCTCCTTACCTTTGTAGTAGTTGTGGTGTGGGCAGACGTCTTTCTGGCGCATTCTATAAGGAGGAGAATTACTACTATTTTCATTGCAAAAGCATTTTCCTAGACTGTTCTGTTGTAAATTTTGTTAACATTAAAGAAGGTCATTTCACAAAGGGGACATGATATTGAATTACTGTGCGGATAAACTAGCACTTGCAGATGAACGCAAAACCACAAGATTAAATCATTAGAGAATAATTTTTACACTACAGTACCTGGCTTTTTTTTTTTTTTTTTTTTAAACAGTACACTTCAATACTGACTAATAATGTAGACGTGCTTAATGCTTGACTTAGCATAAGGTGATCTTCTCAAAGTACATTATAATTTAGTTTCTAAGAGAACTGAATTCTAATTGTTGAATCAATCTGATCACCACTTCAATGGTCATTAACCAACTGATCAGTCTTGACAATTAACTCAAATGTTTCTATGCAGTAGTAAATCGATTACTGTTTCCAGAAACTAACAAATATGTTTTCTTATTAAATAATTAATTGGCTTACTTGTGATCTCTAGTAATAATCCACACCAAAACAAGATGTTTAACAATAAATGTAGTGAGTATATCTTGCTCTGTATTGTTTCAATAACTAATTCCAATCCTTTCAACAAACATGAACTCATGAAGGTTCAAACTGAAAAGTTTGGGATTTCACAAGTGAACTGATTTTTTTTTTTGCCAGTTACTGAATAACTGATGGTTGGATTGTGCATGTAGCTGCAGCACACATGACTCACATATTGAGAGAGTAGAAAATGCTGAATGGTAAATGTAAAAGCTTGGAATGACTATTTTTTAGATTTTAAATGGTTTCTCACAGTTTCACTGTACCGAAAATCACCAATAAACCAATTCAAGTGTCTTTTGTGACATGACCTTAGTCCAGAAGTGAAACAGCAGTGCATTAAACCATTTGGCCAACAGTCTCATTCTAATTCAATTTTAACATGTGTACTTACCCCCTGCACCCAGGGATGCTGAAGAACTTGTCCAGCACTGAGCCTATCCTTTGCATCACGCACCAACAACTTACAAATCAAATCCTTGGCCCCAGCAGAGATGTGAGCCCAGTCCTTCTCAGGGAACTCGTATTTACCTTCCTGTATGCTCTCAAATAGTATGTTCTGTAGGCCAAAGAAAATAATATTCTAATTGCTTGTTGTGCCTTTAACAGAATATACCATCAGTAATACCAAAGCTCTGCCAGTGGTTCAACCAGTGGTACAGACACTGACACAAATTGAATCTAGTTTCTGTTATTCCATAATCTGAGCTGTGGTACCAATACCTCCAGGGTAGTAAAGGGAACTATCAGCCCCTGGTTCAATATCTCGTGACTACTCTGCATCTTCAACAAGATGATATAGTTTAGCTTCAATACCCTGTATTGAAACTAGATTGCCAAACCTTGCAGTTTAGGCAAAAACAAAGAGACCTACTTTACCAGGTTTTAAAAAAAAAAAAAAAAAAAGTTCTAATGGAACCATAATCTTACTCCAGGTATAATAGTATGGTGGTTATGTTAGTGGACGAGAAATGTTATATACAAATTTTCTGGAGACTAGAGTTCAAATCCCAAAAAAAGCCAGTTGGGGAACTGCCTGGAAGTAGCAGCTGACATCAGTAATGGTGATCTTGGAACTACCAGATTGTCATTAAAACTCGGTGCAGGGCTGGATGAACACAGCAGGCCAAGCAGCATCATAGGAGCAGAAAGGCTGACGTTTCGGGCCTAGACCCTTCATCAGAAAAGGCAGGGGGGGGAAAGAGGGTTCTGAAATAAATAGGGAGAGAGTGGGAGGCGGATAGAAGAGGGATAGAGGAGAGGATAGGTGGAGAGGAAACAAACAGGTCGAAGAGGCAGGGATGGAGCCAGTAAAGGTGAGTGTAGGTGGGGAGTTAGGGAGGGGATAGGTCAAGGGGGCGGGATGAGGTTAGTAGGTAGGAGATGGGGCTGCGGCTTGAGGTCGGAGGAGGGGATAGGTGGGAGGAAGGACAGGTTAGGGAGGCAGGGACGAGCCAGACTGGTTTTGGGATGCGGTAGGGGGAGGGGAGATTTTGAAGCTTGTGAAATCCACATTGATACCATTGGGCTGCAGGGTTCCCAAGTGGAATATGAGTTGCTGTTCCTGCAACCTTCGGGTGGCATCGTTGTGGCACTGCAGGAGGCCCAGGATGGACATGTCGTCTGAGGAATGGGAGGGGGAGTTGAAATGGTTCGCGACTAGGAGGTGCAGTTGTTTATTGCGAACCGAGCGTAGGTGTTCTGCAAAGCGGTCCCCGAGCCTCCGCTTGGTTTCCCCGATGTAGAGGAGGCCACACCGGGTACAGCGGATGCAGTATACCACATTGGCAGATGTGCAGGTGAACATTGCTTGATGTGGAGGTCTTCTTGGGGCCTGGGATGGGGGTGAGGGAGGAGGTACGGGGGCAGGTGTAGCACTTCCTGCGGTTGCGCTGTACCCGGTGTGGCCTCCTCTACAAATCGGGGAAACCAAGCAGAGGCTCGGGGACCGCTCTGCAGAACACCTACGCTCGGTTCGCAATAAAACAACTGCACCTCCCAGTCGCGAACCATTTCAACTCCCCCTCC